GACGATCTCAGTACAGACATGACATCGTGTCGGTCTGAAGTTTGGGTATCAGGCCAAAGCCCTACCACATTAACTACACGACAACACGTGACTAAGAATATGCGGTCCACACATGAAGCTCCATCCATTGCCTACGGTGGACTCCAGGCCACACTTGGACATAGTGGTCCTGAACTGCACTATGAAGACTAGTTGCGTGCCGCATGAGAATATATAGACGGCATCTGAGGTAGCATGATAAAACAGGATACATCACGGAGAAACATATTGAGTTCGCTCTAACAAAGCAGAGGCACAACACCACGTTGAACGCAATGATAGTTTAGAGTGATTGGTTCCTGGGATAATGCAAATGATACCATTTTAGATAGTCTGCACGTTACCCCCGCATTTATGAAATTCATTTCGAAAATGCTCGTCATAGCCATGTAGGTTTCACGAATTCAGGCAATACCGCAGATACCTCGACCCCCCGCCCCCACGAAGGGGATGATCCAACGATGAACAGGAGGACGAACAAGGCCCTCTCGTTAGAATAAAGTATTTGTTTGTACAGTTCTCTATTAAAAAATCTTTATGAGATCCGATGTTCCGTTCGCTAATCTTAATCTTCGCTAATCACACTCGTATGAGTCCTAAATGATCGCCGTAGCGGAAGCCTTAAGCTTTCGACAAATGTCTATGTTCTGCGAACACACCGTCAAACACGAATATAATTAATATAAGCATGCATGCGTTTTAAACCAAAAACCAAACACGCGGCGCATTAGTTAAACCACGGATCTACAGCATAATGGACAGGAGTCTAGACATTCGATCATGTTCGTTGTCCCCCCCCCCTTAAAAGTTTGGTATATGCAGCCTTTAATCTTACGGGGGGGGGAGTAATTTCGATGAGATGTTCCTTTGTCCAGTGGGTGGTCACACGACGATCTTTCATGATGTTCGAAGCTGTGTGCATTTTATGCGATACTTATTTGTATGCGACATTTTAGAAGAAGCGTGGCTGATTGATGCGGCGTCCTCTGATCACCAGCTCTACTTCGATGCCGAAACACCGGTCTGTTGCAAGGAGTTCGCCAAGAAGAGCCCGAGCTTCTACGCCACCGCCAGTGCGGCTGGCTCCGATCAGAAAGGTGCTCAGGTTTCTATACAGCGGTGACGACCACGGACCGCTATTGGCGGCTAAACCGACCACTGACATGTTTAGCGACAAGCGACGAGCAAAGCGGGGACACTAGCTCGGGCTTCGAGTCCGGAACCGCCTCCTTCGTGCTCCAAACCACGCATCGCGTCATCTACCGGTTCGTGCCCAGGCACCCGGACGAACTGGCGCTGGAGATCGGCGATCCAATCTGCGTCCAGTACGAGGGCGACGACGAATGGTGCAACGGTACGACCCGAGTGACGCCGCCGTCACGTCACTCACTACCGTCACTGCAAACAACTCGTTTTTGCTTAGGTATGAACCTCAGGTCAAACGAGGCGGGCATATTTCCCGCGGCTCACGTGTTCGAGATCGACTTGAGCGAATCCTTCGATATACCCAGAGACTTAGGTAGTACTTGACGTTGTGTTCACGCCACCGTATGCTGCGCTATGGTAACTGGCTTTTGCAGCTCTGATGATGAACGAAAAGGCGACATTCGGCTTGACGTACCTTGGATCTTTGGAGGTTACTCATCATAAAGGCAACGACGTTCTTGTACAGGCTATCAATAAGGTGACCCTTTCGAACTCGGCACTCAACTCATGTCAAACCTGCCATCGTTTAGGTGTTGGACATGTACCAGAATAAAGAAGATACTCTTGTTCCAATGAAAGTTCTACTGGATATTTCTTACAGAGGCATTCATCTAATCGACAAGTCATCGAAAAATGTAAACATATTTATATCTCAATTGTTTTGCACAACTGCTCGCTCGACACCTCGTGTTTACCCTCCATAATGTCGCCTTGTTTCAAAGGAAGTCAATCCATAGTTACCAAGCATCCTAAGCGTTTATGACAACGTACAGTACTTCAGCATAGTGTGATCCAGTCATGTACGCGCAGTCATATTTGGTCCATTAAAACAAATTAGTTGAATCCTGTTCACTATAGGCCATGTTCCCTACGAATTAAAGTAAATTTCTTTTCCATGCGAAAGCCCATATATTTTGGTTGCAAAGAACCTGACCAACCTCTGAAGGTAAATGAGTACCAATAGTTCAAAACTAATGCTAAATTTTGT